GTTCTTAAAAGAACACCTTCTTTTATTAGTGTGCAACAATTGGATTATACTGCTACGTTGTTGATGCTGAAATAGGGTTTTCTTCATGCAAGTGTGCATAGAAAATTTGTTTTCAACCCGAGCATTTGCATGCAACAGTATTTGTTTCGCGGATATTCAAAATCTTGCAATATCGCGTTTAATATTAGCTTATTTAATTGATTTGTTTGAAATCAAATTTGAATAGCTATTTTGAGCTACCAAGAATTTTGAAAATTATGGTGCCGTTATGTTTTGAACGAAACTGAATTTATTTTTGTTCGGTTTATAATACCGAAATTAATTTACCGTATGAATTTACGTGTTCTTAATTCATTATTCTGTATTCATGCAGATGTATGAGTGTCTGTATTATTGTTCTGTCGACGATAAGCGTCGGCAGGTGTTACGGTCACTTTGTGTCTTGTTTGACTAGTGCCGCCTTTGTCGGTATCTTTATTTTCGATACTTTCTTTTTGAATCGCTATCGCGTTTTTATTTATGTTTATCCGCGACGTAATAATTGCGATGAATGTTTCATTTATGTGTATAAATGTCAGTGTTATTGTTCTGACGGCGATAAGCGCCCGCCAGGTGTAACGGTCACGTTTTGTCTTTGACTGAGTGGTGCCGCTCTTTGTCGGTATCTATCTCCGACGTGAATTTCTTTTCGGTCGCTATCACGTTTATTTTACGCGATATTTTTATTGCGATGAATGTTTATTTACTTGTATGAATGTCAGTGTAATTGTTCTAACGGCGATAAGCGCTCGTCAGGTGTGTCGGCTACTTTTTGTCTTTGACTGATGGGTGCCGCTCTTTGTCGGTATTTATCTCCGACGTTTTTCACGATCGCCGTTTTTTTATCGGTGTCGTGATTTCGCTATTGCGATGAATTTTACCGGATTTCTTGCAGGTAATGTTTTGGTTTCTCGTGTTTCTTACGATGTATGTGTGTAAGTATAATTGTTCTGACGACGATAAGCGTCTGTCAGGTGTTCTGGTCACTTGATCAGTGCCTTCTTTTTGTCGGTCTTCCGACAGATTTATAGAGAAATTTCCAACTTTTCGTTGTCGTTATGAGAACAACGATCAACGTTTTTTTTTTTTTTTCGTGGTATATTTCCTGCAAAGAAATTTCTTACGGTTGTGCTTAGTATAAATTTCGACTCGTGTTTCTAAGACGTTTTTGCAAGCTCGTACTACATAAGTCGTACTGTCGGCATTAATTGCTGACAGCTGTCGCGGTCGCCACTGTTATTCGCACTTTTCTGTATCGCGCCCGATATGCTACGTTAATTTATTTTCGCCGAGCTTCGACACAGTGCAGGCTAACACACGACTTACTAACGACGCTCATTTTACTGTGACCGTGCGATCCCTTATTTTAATCAGAATCGAACTTACAACGGCCCAGGTTGCCCGCTTTCGTCATTTGTGCGGTCGCCAGTTGTTTTAACCTTATAAACAACAAGGTTACTTACGGTTGTTGATTCCACATGGCAATGTTGACACGCTGGTTTCCTCAAGTGGATCGTTATCCCGCTGGGTTTATTTTTGTTCTAGGTCGTCGTGGGATGCTGGATTCCTCCTTCTCATTGCCACAGACGTTTGAGGATTCGCTGGACTGTTTCGCCGTGGGATGGATGATAACGGGTAAGATGAATCGACACGTTATGTTCCAGGTAAATATAATGTATATATTTTTTCTTTCAGGTTCCACACAGATTCTATAAATACTGTACAAAGCGATATTTTACTAGTCCGCGTTTTTTACGATGGAACAGAGTAGAATTGAACAGAACTCTCAATCTCTCCACCTCTCAATCTCTGAACCACGAGGCCTTGCCGCGCCGGCTTATATTTGCCGCAACGTCACCCCTCTCCTGACCCGCTGGCCAATCACGTTCTTTTGCCCCGCCAAGGGTCCGCTGACTACTCAGCGCGTTGCGCGCGCGCGCATGCTCTATACTTGGCTCATCCTTAGTTCTATGTTTATATTATATTTATACTATGTACATTTTATTTGCTTATTTGGCAAAAAATAAAAATGAACGTCATAATGCTAACCAATTGACGCATTGGTTTTATCACATAATAAAATAAATAACCTTGAACCTAGCTGGTCTATTAACATGAATGAAAACTAAAATTTTATCTTGTCTCGCGCTTTATAATTTAACATTAACTCAAAATGCGTGGAGTAATTGTAAATATGCAAAAAATAAAAAATAAAATTTACATTAGGCGACTTAAAATTAATTTTTATCAAACTTAAAAATAAAATAAAAAAATTCATACTGCTTTCGTCCGCTACTGGGATGTCACGTCCTTTAACCAAGGCAGCTCTTCCGGACTGCGCCCAGCTGTGGTTGGTCGCAACATGCTTACGCCGCGATCGAGGGAGTTGAATTTAATAGCCTACGAGATCTAACAATAAAACTTATTTTCGGACCGAACAAATCCATCGATCAATATCGAGGAGAGTTAGCAAACATATTTATGAAACAGAACGAGAACATTTTTGATTACATCGCGCGCGTTCAAGAATTAAGAACAGCAATTATAGATGGAGAAGCCGATGTTTGTGGAAATCTCGACGACGAAGTTAGAGATAACATCGAAAAAAGCGTTACTAACAGTTTTATTAACGGATTACCTTCCGATTTATTAATCCGCGTGAAATTAGAACGACCATATACTTTCGAACAAAGCATTGTCTCAGCTATTCAATTATCCAAGACCCTAGAAGCCGAAAATCTTCGAAAAAAACTACTGCTTTTAATCAAATTGAAAATAACGCAATTCAAATCAACAATGTTATAATAATCCGTTTAATAATTGTGTGAAATAATTTTCGTTTCCTTTAATCGCACCTTTAAAAAATACAGCAGTTTAAACAAAACTGTGAAAAATGAATTTTTTCAACTGAAAATAACGCAAATCCAAATCAGCAGTCTTATTAAGAATCGTTTATAAAAGTGTGAACTGAATTTCGTTTCGCTTTAAGTCGCACACTTTAAAAAATACAGCAGTTTAAACAAAACTGTGAAAAATAAATTTTTTCAAATTGAAAATAACGCAAATCCAAATCAGTAGTCTTATTAAGAAACGTTTATAGACAACGAACTGAATTTCTTTCGCTTGTATCGCACATTTTAAAAAATACAGCAGTTTAAACAAAACTGTCAGGATTAATTTTATCAAATTTCAAGATTTTATAATTCTGCTTTGTACATCGATGAAACATTCAAAAACGAATGTCCCGAACCACAAGATACGATTTTAAACACAACTGAGCATGTATATTTGACATATCTTAAAGCTTGTCACTTTTTAAATTTTTCTTCGACATCGAAATCGATCATCTTCGCTTAAAAAATTGAACGCACTTGAAAATTGTTTTTCATATATATTAATGTGAAGCTGACAGCTGACTATAAAGAATTAATTTTTTTATTACCGAAAATGATAGTACTTCGATCGCTCGCGTCGTCAGTAGAAAAATAAAAAATTCAAGTTTTTCTTCAAATCGAAAATAACGCAAATCCAAATTAGCAGTCTTATTAAGAATCGTTTATAGATATGTGAAGTGAATTTCGTTTTGCCTGTAGTCGCACGTTTTAATATTACAGTAGTTTAAAAAATCTGTCAAAGATGTTTTTCTTCAAATTTTAAGATTTTTAATTTTTGCTATTTCTATCGATACAGATTTCGATTTCTAACGCTCCAAACAATAAGAATCGATTCTAAATACGACTGAGCATGAGAATTTCAAATTTTTTAAAGTTGGTCATTTTTTAATATTTTGTTTCAAGATCGACAACGATCTATGTCCGCTTCAAATTTGGCACGTGCAAATATCGTGTTTTTAGTATTGTACATGTGGCATCTGACTTTAAAGAATTAATATTTTAATACGGAAATTTATTAATTAGCGCTACGTTCGCGCCATTTCTCAATATTATATTAACTAATAATAATTTAGAACTTTAATAATTTAAAACAAAAATACGGTTGTCCTAATATTAGAATTATTATTTTAATATTAGTGCTATTATTCCTAATATTAGTTTTTAGTTCCTAATATTAGTATTATTTTTCTTAAGTTAGATTTATTTTTTTTAGATTAGATTTGTTGTTCTTAATTTTAGTTTTTTATATTAGTTAGTTGAAAAAATCGAAGTCGCTACAGTAATTCCCTCCCGAAAAATAAAAAAAAATTTTTAATGCTCGCATTTAAGTCGACCATTATTTTCCTAACAATGTAACATAAAGAAAAAATTAACTCACATTGCATGAAGTCGATTATCCAAACCTTTCTGCTTTTAGACATATATCCACTTTTATATTCCACTGCTGCTCTGCTGTAATCCCATATGGTTTGGCACTAAAGGTGGGTTTAGGGTGAGCTTAACGTAACGGAACGTAACGGAACGCGACGGAATTCGGCTATTACGATCGCCTTTACGTAACGAATTATTAGAACTTAACGCGACATCAAGCTTTGCCAAGCTTTGTCGCGTTTTGCCTAGTCGGTCTTTAAAAAAATTTATTATAATTATTAAAATAATTATTATTAATTATAATTCTTATTATAGTTATAATAATTATTATAATTATAATCATAAATATGTATATAATATTAGTTACTAATATATTATTGTAATAATTATTTTATATTTATACAATTATAATTATTATAATTATAATCTTAATAATTATTATTCAATTATTAATTAATTAATTTTTATTTAAAATTACATTAAAAATATTTTAATGTAACTTTTTTTTTGTTTTTTTACGCGCGCTACATTCGAGTTTAAGAATTTGACATTTAACATTGTGTTGCTCATTCGGAGCTTATAGCAATAGAAGATGTCAATTAACGACACGTTATTGATAGAGTGTGTTCGTGCGCATCCCGAAATATACGACAAGGGACATGCCGGATTCAAAAATTCCGGCATAAAAGACTCCGCATGGAAGATTGTTGGCAAAACATTGAATGGTAGGTTATATTGCATCTTTTTTTTAAAATTTATATTTATTACATTAATTTATATATGTTTTTTAATATCTTTTTTGTTATGATTTCAGCATCAGCGACAGATTGTACGGCCAGGTGGCATCTCTTCGCGAGAGATTCGCGAAAGAAAAACGTATTTTTGAGCAGGAGGGGAAGTCTGGAGCAGCAGCCTCAACCCGTCCAGAATGGGCCTTATATAGTGTTATGTCATTTCTGACACCGCACATTAGGAAGAGAAAGTAAGTTTGGTATATGATGGTTTGTTGTACGAATTTTCGAATAATTACGATAATTTTTTTAATTATTTCCGGTTGCAGATCTGTGGACAATTTTCAAACAAAGGCGTTGGTATCTAAAACTACACCTTCACCAGATGAAGAAATAATAATAAATGAGCAAGCTGTGGACATTAATAGCGCACCCTTTATAATTTCTACCTGTTCTACCCTCTCCTCGCCTGGCTGTAGCTCATCAGCTGCTAATATGCCTTATTTGGGACCTACAAGTCGTAAGAGGTCAAAGGTGGACGAAACAGATGAATTGTTCAGAGAGACTCTTACTAATTTAAATAAATCTATGGCTGTAGCCAGTGCTCCTACTCCACCACTATCATCACCACCTTCAATTAATGATCCAGACGTCTTGATTAGCAGAAACGTTGAATCTTGTCTCAAGAATTTGACAAATATGACGTTAAGGCTTAAATATAGAAGGAAATTTAGATCTATAATCCAAGATTGTGAGGAGGAGGCTGAAGATATAAAATTATCAGAATTTATAGATATATAATTCGTTTATTTTATTATCTTATATTTTTATTTTATTACTTTATTTTATTTATTTCTGTGTTTATTTAAAAATAAAAATGTTTAATTCTATTTATTTCTGTTTAAAAAATAAAAATTCTATTTCTTTCTGTGTTTAAATAAAAATGTTTTATTCATGTTTTGTATTAAGATTTATTTAATTAAAAAAAAAACTCATGGCAGTAAGTGTAGATCTTGAGGGGGGATAATTCCTTGCCGGATCCTCACAATAGTGTCTTGATGGCGCATAACCCCAGGCCCATTCACGAATTCCTTCAGTGCATCTCTGTTTTAAAATTCCTAGAGCAGCATTTCTTGCACCCATCCGTGGACCATTAATGATGGCTCCATTTTCCCCACTGACAACATCATGCCATTCTCCTTCTATCAATTCGCCAGTTGGCAATTCTTGATCCACAAACGAAGGAGGGCAGTACTCCAGGTTGAGTTTCTTGTTGCCTGTCTTAAGGATGAAATTGTGGAGGCAAATAGTACATTCAATAATGCTTTCCACATTGTCTTCTTTACTAATAATAGGGCGACGAAAAACTCCAACGAGCTGCTAAAATGCCAAAGGCATTTTCAATCACTCTTCTTGCTCTGCTCAACCTAAAGTTATACACAGACTTGTCATGAGATATGTTACGTTCGCCATAGGGTTTCATTAGGTAAGATTTCAGAGGGAAAGCTGCATCTCCTACAAGGAAGTAAGGCATATCAATATCAGTTTCTGGTAGGTTACTCGAATTTGGCAAATTAATAGATCCATCATTCAATCGCCGACCCATTTCAGACGATTGAAAAATTCCGCCATCACTTTGTGAGCCTTCTGCTCCTACATCGAGCATGATGAAATTGTAGTATGCATCACAAACTGCCAATAGAACTATGCTAAATGTTTTCTTGTAATTAAAGTAAATACTTTGAGAAGCTTGTGGGGCCTGCATTTGAATGTGCTTCCCATCGATGGCTCCCACACAATGGGGAAACTGCCATTCTTCCCAAAATCCAGCAGCCACCTCACGCCACTCCGCTTCATTTGCAGGAGGCTTTACAAATGCATTCTTCAAAACACTTACAAGTGCTCGAGTAGTTTCAGCCAGGATCTGAGAGATAGTGCTCTTGCACACATGTATAGGAAAAGCTCAGAGTACCCTGACTGTCTCCTGCTGCCAAGAACCTTAATGTTATGGCAAGTCTCTGAGAGGGTAAAAGAGTAGTGTACATTTTTCGTTTCTTTAACAGTGGACCAATTAAACTCAAGAGATACTCGAATCTAAGAAAGCAAAATATAATATGTAAAAAATAAACCCTATACGATCAAACCATTAGTCTTTTATGATTCTTTATTAATAGACATTACCTTTCAACATTCATTCTTGTATAAATAAAAAAAAAGTGCGGATCATTAAAACGGAGTTCTTCTAACAGATTATGTCCGTCACCAAACTGGATTCTTCTTCGAAAAATCTCTCTCACACCAATGGTTCGTACTCGTTTTCTCTTCCGCCGTTGAAGGTAAAAATATCCGATCGAAATTAAATTAAAAATTTGATAATTTCTCACAACAGAATTCATTTTGATAGAAACTACCAACGAGAATGACAACAAGAATAATAACGCTGTCAAAATGCACGCTGTTTTTTTTAACGGCACGTTATGGCGATCGTAATTAGACAGATATACTTTAACGTTAAGTTTACTTCACGTCACTTCACGTCCCGTTGCGTTCCGTTACGTTCCGTTACGTTAAGCTCATCCTAAACCCACCTTAATCACTGCACTGTTTTTTCTATTATTTTATATTTGCAATAATTATTTCTTGCACTTCACTACACACAGATGCACTTCGTAATAAACGGACGATACGAAAAAAATAATATCACTCGCGAATGCATTCGGCACTTTCGGGCATCCCGCTCGATCACGTTCGATATCGCATTCGGGAATAAAAACACGAACACATCTGTTGAAAAAATATACTTTTCCGATTCCGAGAAAGCGAGCGTCCGAATATTAATCACATTAAACGTAACGAAATGCCCTTAAATTTACTCGTGATGTCTATAAAGGTCTATCGCGACATCCAAAGAGGTCTATCGCGACATCTCTCGGCCAGCCACGTCATTAGGCGACATCGCGAAGCGAACTAATTGTAAGTGGCATGGCAGAGTGATACTTGAGCGCCGCGGACCGTTGCGCGGAGAGTCACGAAAGCTCCAGTATCTCAACCGTTTGAGGGGCATTTCCCCTACAATTTGAATCGACGGTTGAGATAAAGTCGAGCTTTTCTGTCACTTTCTCCGATATTCGGACACTTCTGTAGATGTTGAAGCACTCGCGAAACTCTTCCTCGAGAGGATGATTCCGAAATACCGCACGAGAACCGTATTTTATGTCGAAATATACTCTAAAACGATAGATCAAGCGATGATCTCTCTCCCCCTGCCCCTCGACCAGCTCGCTACCTCCGCGAATTCGCGATGCTCCGCGACTCCCGGGGCCCCGTCGACGCCCGTCGTACCCTTCGAGACGATATAGAACTCCGCGAGGCTCTCGAGCGAGCGAGTAGCGCCGAAAAGCACGAAAATCACGTCGGAACAGTCTCAAGCGAGAAGCGTCCTTTTCCCCCATCCCTCCAACCTCCAACTCGCGATGTTCCGAGGCTCCCCATCGACGCCCGAATGCTCTTCGAGCAGATTATTCGGTCCACGTCGAAACACGACACTCCCGGACTTGCACTCCCGATTATTCGCGTTACTCGCGCACAAAATCCGGACGAGACGCGGAGCTTTCGCGACGCACTCTGCTCCTCCGCTGCCGGACTTGGACTGACTAATGGCGGCGCTGCCTGAAGTTCGTGGCGTCGCGGCGTCAGAATCGGCCGATTTCATGGTATACTACGCGCGGAAATTTTGCACGCGTAAATAATAAATAATATATGTACAATCAGCAAATGTACATAATTTTAATTGGCCGAATTATCAATTATGTACATAATTTTATTATGAGGGAGTACATAATTTTAATTCCCAATTTTTTATTATATACATAATTTTAATTCGTCGAATTTCTATTATGCACACAATTTTAATTTTTCATTTTTTATTATATATATATATATATATATATATATATATATATATATACATAATTTTAATTCGCCGTATTTCTATTATGTAAATAATTGAATATGTACATAATAAAAATTCGAATAATTAATATTATGTACATAATAAAACTTAACTAATAAAATATTTAACTAATGTTTTATAAATGTTTTAAAAATATTATTTAATAACTTATAATGCTCTCAAAATATTAATAAAATATTTTAAAAACGTTAATTTCAACATTACTGAAACCTCTAAATCAATGTCAAAGTTTGTTCATAATGATGTTGTATACAATGTTAAAAACTACATACAGACAGCAATAATAACGTTGTAGCAATGATTTTTTGCTTACTGAGTAATTATGTACTCATAGAATTATGTAAAGCTAACATTATATATACTTAAATACTTATACAAGCGTTATGTTATATAGTATATAGCGTTGAAATGATAGATAGAATAGTATATCGAGATCGGGATACATTGAATTCTGTTGAAATGCAGTTGGAATCTATCTGTCGAGCTGTCTAGACGTGCTAAGTGAGAAGTTTTTTGCATATTTATACGCGGTAAGACAACTATTTTTTTATTATCCATAAAACAATAAATAAATCGAGCTGATAAAATTGCTGATTATACTGATATAATTTAATAGTATATGTTTTTTAATATGCAATGTAAACATTTCCAAATATTTATATTTTTGAGCAAATGGTTCGAATTTTTTAGTAAACTTTATCTTCTTAATATATATCTTTATAGTATTTTTGATAATAATTATACTTTTATTTATTTTTTTTTTAAATAAATTAAAAAAGTCAATATTGAATGAAGGATACATATATATGTATATATATATATATATATATAATATATATATAATTATATTTATTTATATTATTTGTTTTTTAAATAAATTAAAAAAGTCAATATTGAATGAAGGATACATATATATATATATATATAGAAATATAGAAATATATATATAAGACGGGCAACAAGAGCCAAATCGCGGATGACAATGCGTTATCCTAACGAAACTAAATAATTTTTCGTTAGAATTAAATACCGGTGCACAAGGCACCAAATTTTTACTTGGACACGGCCAAGATTTTAAATATGAAATAATCTCATATTTTGAGATTTAATTTCAATACCCCTTTTAACCCCCCTACGGAAAATAAATAAATGAATGCAAGAGAAAAATATAGATCCGAAAATCGCTGAATCGGGAATCGAACCCGAGACCTTTCGCTTGCACAGCTGGAAGAGCAGTCGCCCGGCAAGCGAAAGGTCTCGGGTTCGATTCCCGATTCAGCGATTTTCGGATCTATATTTTTCTCTTGCATTCATTTATTTATTTTCCGTAGGGGGGTTAAAAGGGGTATTGAAATTAAATCTCAAAATATGAGATTATTTCATATTTAAAATCTTGGCCGTGTCCAAGTAAAAATTTGGTGCCTTGTGCACCGGTATTTAATTCTAACGAAAAATTATTTAGTTTCGTTAGGATAACGCATTGTCATCCGCGATTTGGCTCTTGTTGCCCGTCTTATACGTTAAATTATATATATATATATAATTATACTTTTATTTATTTATTTAAATAAATTAAAAAAGTCAATATTGAATGAAGGATACATATATATATATATATAAAAAATATATATATATATTATATAAGATATAATATATATATATATATAAAATGATAGGAATATATATATATAATATATATATATATATATATATATATATATAATTATACTTTTATTTATTTATTTTTTTAAATAAATTAAAAAAGTCAATATTGAATGAAGGATACATATATGTATATATATATAAAATGTAGAAATATATATATATATATATATATTATATATATACACATATATATATATATATATATATATATATAATTGTACTTTTATTTATTTATTTTTTTAAATAAATTAAAAAAGTCAATATTGAATGAAGGATACATATATATATATATATGTATATATGTATATAGTATGTGTAACACGTGTAACATTTTTACAAGGTAAACTGCTTTTTTAAACTCATTTAAAGTCTGAGTTATTTAAAATATATGTGAAATTTTCTAATAGTATATATAGATATATACTAATGTAAAATGTCACATATATTTTAAATGACTCAAACTTTGAATGAATTTAAGAAAGCAGTTTACCTTGTAAAATGTTACACGTGTTACTTATATATATATATATATATATATATATATATATATATATATATATATATAAGAACGTCGTAAAAAGTAGGCGCAACAAAAGAACTTATCTAAAATCTTTTTTATTTAATTTGAAAGTTTAGTATTTTATTCTTTGTACCATTTTTAGCAGATTAATTATGCGAAAAAAATTATGCGTCTTGATTTTTATTGTTATATTTTATGTTTTCGATAAATCTTTACAAGGAGCAGCATGTGTTTGTTGCATATTGCGCGAAGTCATGTCGTATGCATTTTTTGCTTTTTACTTTTTATCTTGTTTTCGCGAGCGAATACATAGTATGAATATGAGCATTAATACACAGAAAAAAAGAAATCCTTGATTTAAGTATATTTTTATTCTTGAACGCTATTTGATTGATTTAAGCATAGAATGCTCTTTGTAATCACAAATTTTCATTTGCTTTAATAATAAATAAGTTTGTGTAAAGTATATTTTATCCTTAAGATATATTCTTGTTTTAAAAATCGCATATGGTAAAAACAAACTTAGTCACATTTGAACTAAGAATTATTATATTTATTTGAAAGTACCGCTTATATCCGATGCACACTTGTCACTTGTCCTTGCAATATTTATAAGTAAATTTCAGCTTCAACCAAGAATATTTTGCACTTTGTTTTAAGGATAAATTATCCTTTATCCAAAATTATTTATATTTGGTGCTATTATAAGGATAAAATATATTTGAATCAAAGCATATTTGCATTCTCTCAAGG